AATTTACTTGTGTATCTTATCATATGCAGCCATTTCGAATTCATTTGGATTTGGTGGACACAACTCTGTCGTGGCCTTCTCTGCATTCAAGCCCTGATTTTTGTTCGATATTTTTTTTTTCTCATAACAAGATAAATCTTTCGATTATGAGTTCTTACTGAATCTCTTATAGCGACTGATCAGTATTCAATGTGCTAGTTACTCCATTGACATTTCGAGCGAGACATTTCTTTCGAATCAATTGTAATAAAGTTAGATCCTAGATTGAAGACTCGTAACTTTTTCTTGGATTCATTTAAACCTTAAATTTCTGCTACTGGTTTTGGTGAAAAAGATGTTAGCCTCTGAGTAGAGATGTAAATGGACTGGCCGGCCCGATGACCGGTTCATACATCTGGGTATATCGAGAATGGAAAATTGATTATTTCCTTTCCTACTAGATTCGTCTAGTAGTAGATTTGAAACTACTAATGTTGTGTGACATTTCAAAATAATTAAAGATTGAGTACGATCATATTATTGTCCCTTGTGGTGCTGGGAATGCAGTCTCAGACGCTTACGTCGGTGTTTTAGGACGGGTTTGAACGGGGAGCTCGTTGGCCAGCACTAGGAGTATGCATATGTCGAAGCACACCAAAGGTGCATGTTGTGCTGTCCGACAAAATCGGGATGAAGACATTTCACAAATATATTTATTGCTTCGATTTTGGTCGCAGCCTTTTTTATTGCCTATCTGGAGCCGCTTCTCAGGGGAAAAGAAGTGTTTTTTGGACCGTTGTAAAGCCAAACCAGCCCATCTTTGTTGACTTTGTCTTTCACATTGGGTCCTACTTGACATTTTGACGGTCAGAAAAGTGCTCAGAATTTTGGGGAAAAAACTCTGTCAGACAAGCGCTTAATATGTTGAGTTTGACATAATTTTGACATCAATAATCGAATTTAGGCAATGTTGGTAGTGGCTTGGGCAATTTTGAGGAGGATGGACAAGGAGACAGGAGTTCATGCTTGGGAAACAACATAATTTTTTTATAATTTGACGGTCAAAATTAAATATTAATTTTAATTATACATTTTATCGTACTCATATTTACATCGTACTTATCCATGACTAATAGTTGGTATTCTACATCTATTTAAATAAATTTCATTTTGACTAAAAAATTGATTAATCGTTCAATGGGGTCATGTAAAATTACACGGGCCTGAAAAGATCCAATTATTGTAGATGCCATGTGGACAAACTTCCAGATAATTTCCGGGACAATAAAGCTACTTATACAAAATTGTGTTGCAAAAGTTGGATTACAAAATCTGTTGACAAAATCAAGTTCGTTGATTTGAAATGATTTAAAAATCTATTTTCAAAATGATTGATGTGAATTTTATTTTGTATACCAACTTTGTAACCCAAAACTTAACTCTTTGCGTGAAGAAATATGGGCAATTTACAAAAATACCTTTAAAATTAGATGTATTTTAAAAAATCATATGAAAAGTTTTTAGGAAGTAAAAAATACTGTGTAAAATAAAAAAGTGACACAATGTCACTTTTTTATTAAAAAAAAAAGATTTGTCACTTTTTTTTCACAAACTCAAAAAAAGTGACCAAATTCAAAAAAAGTGACATGAACACTAGAAAAGTTATACAAACTCAAAAAAGGTGACAAACTTAAAAAAGAGTAACGAACATCAAAATAGAACCATTCATTTATGCAACACTAGTAATCACGTTCTCAACATAATCAACATATTCAGGACAATTCACGTGAACATAGTGGTGGTTCTTAATATAATCAACATGTGCATTGTCCACACGCTAATTATGTTAGAAAAATATAACATATTATATCACTTTTTTTTATCTTCTTAAAAAAGTAACAAATATTAAAAAAATAAAAAAGTGACAAAAACTTAAAAATTGACAAAAAAAACTCAAAAAAGCGAGAATCTAAAAAAGTGACGCAGTGTCACTTTTTTATTAAAAAAATAACATACAATCTCACTTTTATTAAAAAATGATGTTTGTCACTAAAAAAGTGATAAAAATTTCAAGAAGGCAACTGAAAAAAAAGAAGAAGCAACGAACACTAAAAAAAAGTGACAAAATTTAAAAAAAAAAAAGTGACAAATACTAAAAAAAGTGACAAAATTTCAAAAAAGTGACAAATTTTAAAAAGTGAAATGCACAAAAAGTGACAAATACTAAAAAAGTGACGAACTTAAAAAAGAGATAGAAATCAAGAAGGCGACAAGCATTAAAAAAGTGACAAATTTTCAAAAAAGTGATGGAAATTTAAAAAAAGTGACACAACTTCTTTTATAGGTTGTCTTTTTGTAATTATATTTTACTTCTATTAACTAACATATTAACTTGGCTTTGGAAGACAAAAATTCAAAAAAGTGATAAATAAATCAAAACATTAAAATAGATCCAGTATATAGTTGAATTTCTTTTGCATATTGTCTCTTTGTAATTATATATTTTACTTCTATTAACTAACATATTAACTTGATTCATCCAAAAATAGTAAAATGTAAAGAACCTTCTGATCAAGAAGCATGAATAACTGCATCTGCTTACCTATGAATTAAGTAAAAATGTTTGTATTTCATGGTCTTGATCTCTGAATAGACCTAAAGCCATATACAAGAATTACATTAAAGCCCTACATAACAACATATGTGTTTAAGGCATCATGATCCCAAAACCCAAGACAATCAACCAACCCAATTCACAACAAAATAGTTTAGTCTTCTGCCCCCAGCACAAACCCAATTCTTCACTTCCAATATCCTGTTTCCTCTCCCCAGTCAAGCTTCACACTAACATTACTTTCATTTTCTTTATTATAGATACAGACACAATTGCATTCATAATCATTTATTTCTATAGTTCCTCATACGATTTAAGCACACAAACAAGATCAAGCAATGCTTACAACAGCAGTTTACAAATTTGTTATGTCAACTGTAGAATGACTAAAAACTTATAAGAACAAATTTCAAGTATTATTAAGTTCAAGAAGGTGGAGGAACGAAATAATCATTTATAGCAACAACATTGCTTTTCAACTTTTACTAATAGGGCCATAATTTCCTCGCTAAATTTCCTTCTATTACTTTTGTTTACAACTTGGAAGTTGTGAAAATTTCTAAAAGGCATAACATCACATACGAATATCAAAATCAGAAGAAAGAACCTTCCAATCCCAATCTTACATTCATCATTTGCAGATGAGCTTAAGAGGCACTTAACCTTTGAAAAGAACGAACATGCAGTAATGAAATTTGGAAATATATACCATTTCATGACATCAGTAGTTTTACACCCAAAATCAATTTCTGATATTTCCTCAACCATAAAATATATTTTTGAGTTGGGAAGAGAAGTACAATGTAATAGGGTTAAAAACATGGTGGTCACCGAACTTTAGCAAAATTTCAAGTTGTCATCATTTTGTTTCACGTTGGCCATTGAATCGTTATATTTATTTACAATTTGCTCGTTTTGTGCATGTATGTTAGTTCGACTCAGAAGAAAAACTGACCTGATAGTCTAGTTGGTAGTTTAATTGGCAAACTACTAGCTTTCTCATCACCTTTTCTGTCAAACTAATGGACATGGACGGAGCGACCAAATTGCAACGGAATTTAATTTCAGCTACCAACCTGAAATGGAATTGAGTTTTGCTAAAAGTTTACCAGCCACCAGTGTATTAACCTTAGCATAATATTATGGTCTCTGTCCCTTAATTTCATTGAACCCTCTTTTCTACAGGACACTCTTTATGAAGGTTCAATATCTCGAGATCAGGTTGCTGAAGTTTCTGTAGAGGCATTGCTCCATCCCGAGTCATACTATAAAGTGGTCGAGATTGTTGCTCGGACGGAAGCGCCTAAACGTTCATTTGTGGAGCTCTTTAGTTCCATCAAAAAAGGGTGATCTAAGGGATTAATATTATACCAGTTGGATGTATGGATGCTCTCCGTCTCTTTGGTTTCTCTTTCTGTCATATTTATACTGAGATATCCACGAATACGAAAATTTAAGCATTGTACTGTTACAAATTTTTATACTACATGTATGCTTGGATTGGACGAAACATATTTTACTATACGGCTGTACGAATATCCTTGTCTTTCCTTATTGTTCTCTAATGGTTGATCTAGGATTAATGTAGGGTTGCATCCGACCTGGCCTGTGTCCTCCTGGGACTCTACTCGAGACATAAAAGATGTAAGTATACTCGTTGGAGGGAGCATTGGCCTCTAATATTGAGTTTTTTGAATAACTCAAACCTCGAAAAAGCATGAAAATGGTTTTAGGGTTTGTTCGATAGCGATTATGAGAAATAATTTTTTGATCGTTAGAGAGTGTGGGTTCCACTTGTGAGGGAAGAAGATAAAAATTACTGTCGAAATAATGAAATAATGAGAAAAAAATTGGGTGGAATTGTTACCGAACATGTACTTCGTGGAAATTTATTTTCTCTTGAACCATGACAAGTATGTTAACAAAGTTGAAGCACACAGGAGCGACTCCGTGGCCCAATGGATAAGGCGCTGGTCTACGGAACCAGAGATTCTGGGTTCGATCCCCAGCGGAGTCGTCGTTAATAATTTTTTGATCAATGCCACTGTAATTGCAATATTGTGTAGCGGGAAATCAAATTACTATTGGAGAAATTTTAATAATATATTCACTCTATATATTTAATTATTTATATGCAATGCATTTTAAGATTTATATAATTCTTATGAACTCAAAACTAGGATCAATTAGAGATGGTTCAATTAGATATCTCATCCAATAGAATGTGTCAATCGAATATATTATACACCTGTATCCTGCTCACTCGTTGATTACTCAAAGTATATTAGCCTCAAGAAAAGATCATGCACGTTGAATTGTTTGGAAACCCAATCTTCACAAGGACATACGACCATCCTTGGTTACTATGAACAAATGTAAAGCTCAAGAAATGGTTTTCAACCCACAAATATATTGATTTCTAATAAAGATATCCGTACAACTTCAAAACATTTATCAAGTTGGAGTTCAACACAACTAGCGAAGAATCAACCAAAGATGTTTTTAAGAAATCTAAAATTGATCTAAAAAGCCAAACATCAAACAATACTTCTCCATATAAACCAAACATGTTACATAAACAAGTTGGGTCGAGATGCCTTGTAGGTTGTCTTGAGCTTCCTGCTTGGTGGCCTCACCTTCCTGAACACCAAGGGGAACTTAATCTTGGAGTTATGGAATTGTTTGGTACTCTCCCTCTTGCAGAGCTTGGCAGGTATAGTGGCAGTTTTGATAATTTGAATGCAATGAGAACGGACCCTGTGACGAGAAGCCATCTCAGTGTACATCTGCTCAACAGCACCATACAGAGTGGTATCACGGTACTCCTTGTACATGTTATGATACCCAGTTCTGCTTTGGTATCGCAACCAAATGCCGTAGTTCTTGATTGTCGTCGGGTTCTTCTCAAAAATCTACAAAAAGGACAACAATTTTATCGCACAGTTCTCATAAAGTTAGCTCAAGAAGCAAAAAAGAACATCCAAAGAGTAGGACATCGAACCCAGCTGATGATTTGAATAGTCCATTAGATTTTCCCATATATGAAAGAAAAGCATATAGAACCATCGAATATGCAATCAATTCCTATAACCAATACACTTGAAAACATGTTTAGCATGCAGTACTTGACAAGACTTGATAATATTAGTGTATAAAAAAAAACTGCAACTTCGATCATTTGATCGTCAAATCATATATAGCATATACGAAACACAATGTAAAAATGCTATACTCAGTCTCTAGTACCGAGTCTTTATTATGGCTAACCTATAACCATTGCAACTCGTCCAATAATGCGCAAGAACCCATCCTATAGTGTTTGCAGCAACAAAAAATTTGTGGAAAGCATTATCGTATAATATATTCTAATTTCAGTCATCTCATAGGACCTCCCATTGTACCCGATCTACATTGTGAAATTTTCTTTGAATCAAGCCAGGACAATCACTAAAGCATTAGACAACAGAATTACAATGCACCTAATAACAAAAAGAAAAAAAAAATTACAGGCAAAAGACTTCAGAAATCAAGTTCATATCAATCGTCATTCACATGTTTGTTAAATTTCGATAAAATTATTTTATATATTTTTCAAAATCCCATATTCTTATGGAGGCATATTATTAACAAAATCCACAATATTAATAGCGATGGCAATCATTTTATGAAATAACCTTTATATTATACACAGATCTGAAAATAGTACATCAAGAATATACTATTTACATGAATCCCCTAAGACCACAGCATCAAGTGAAAATCCTTTAAGGCTCAGACCAAAGACCCCATATCTAACATCACAGAGACACCAAATCTTAACCGCGAGCCCTCACAGTCCCAAATCTACAAAGTTACTTCAACAAGACACAGAATGAACAAAACCCCTACGATACAAAGATTTCACACAGAGAAGAATCACCCAAGGAATGAAGATCACAGGGTTGATTCTTCAGAATCTCACACAGAGAGATCGAAGAAGAACAAAACTGAAAAACCCTAGTGAAGGTTCCAAAACACGGCTCACAGAAGAGAGAAAAATGAAAAGACGACTGCCAACCCTAAAAAATGAGAAAGGGATATATTTATAGTAGAAATCATCAGCCATCAGATTAATGGGTTGATCTAACGGCCCCAGAGCAACTACAAGAATGGGCCGGGTATTGGGCTCGATTAAGCGGGTCGTCTAAGTATAAAAGAGTGGATCAATCTGCTCTTTATCTATTGGGCTTGGAATTTATCATCATTGCCTATAATTGGACTGATCATGTTGGCATCACAGCCCAACAGATCTCCACCTTGATGCCAATGGTCATACAAGAAGTCTAATGAAAGTAAAACACAAGTTATATCTCTCCAAAAATGCAGCTTTCCAGTACTTCCAATAAGCATCAGTTTCAGCACCTATATAGAACCAAAAAATATCTAACCAGCATCAATGTTCAAAATTTGTAAACAAGACTTAAACTTGTTTAATGGTATTACCTTAGTCCCTACATCAGCTGGATTAAACTGAGTTGCAATTTTCTCAAGTAAAATAAGTTCTTTTGAAACATCTCTAATAAAATGCAACTTAACATCAATATGTTTGGATCTTTCATGAAAAACAGGGTTTTTACATAGGTGAATTGCACTTTGACTATCTGAATATAAGACAACAGGGTTACTTAATTCATTTATTTCAGATAACAAGCCCTTAAGCCATAAGACTTCTTTTATTGCTTCAGTTGCAGCAACATACTCGGCTTCAATAGTAGATAAAGCAACAATAGGTTGAAGTTGAGATTTCCAACTAATACATGTATTAAACAAAGAAAACATATAAGAAGTAGTAGATTTTCTATTGTCTCTATCTCCGGCAAAATTTGAATCTACAAAACCCTTAAGTACAACACCTTCATTACAGGCACTAAAAATCAATCCAACATGTGAAGATCCTTTTAAGTATCTCAACAGCCATTTTAGAGCAACCCAATGGTCAGGTCCTGGATTTGCCATAAATCTACTAAGTGTGCTAATGGAATGAGCTACATCAGGCCTAGTACATACCATAGTGTACATAATAGAACCTACGGCATTAGCATAGGGTACATTTTCCATTTGTCTAATGTCAGATTCATTTACAGGACATTGCTCCTTACTGAGTTTAAAATGGCTGGCCAATGGAAGTGAAACTGATTTAGAGTTATGCATGGCAAACTTAATCAATATTTTTTCAATATATGCAGTTTGCTTCAAGTATAGTAACCTATGGTGCCTTTTTCTAGTGATTTCCATTCCTAGAATTCTCTTTACATGTCCTAGGTCTTTCATTTCAAATTCAGCATTTAAAGACCGTTTTATCTGATTAATAACATGCATATTCTGACTAATCAGCAACATATCATCCACATAAAGGAGTATAAAAGCAACAATAGCATTTTCATTATTTCTTTTAAAATAAAGACAATGATCATACTCACTTCTCATGAAACCAATAGTAGATACAAAATTATCAAACTTTTTGTACCATTGTTGTGGAGATTGCTTTAAGCCATATAATGATCTTTTTAAAAAGCACACATGATTAGATTTAATTTTATCAATGAAACCAGGTGGCTGTCTCATATAAATCACTTCATCAAGGTCACCATGCAAGAAGACAGTTTTTACATCCATTTGTTCAAGTTCAAGATCATAATGAGCAACAAAAGCAAGTATAACTCTAATTGTTGTGTACTTTATCATAGGTGAAAATATCTCATTATAATCCATGCCCTCCTTCTGTGTAAAACATTTTGCTACAAGTCTAACCTTAAATCTTATGGGCATTTTTTCAGTATTTCCCTCTTTAACACTAAAGATCCACTTGCAATCAACAAGGGCTTTACCTGCAGGTTTAGGAACTAAAGTCCAAGTCTCATTTTTCATTAAGGAGTCCATTTCATCTATCATAGCAGCATGTCAATTCTCAGATTGTTGGCAGCTCATAGCCTCTTCATAAGATTTAGGTTCTTTAAACACTAAGTCTTGATAGGACAAAACAGCAAGAGAAAGGTAATCACCATACCTAACTGGCTTTCTTACTTCTCTCCTAGTCCTATCTCTAGCTAATTAGTAATCCCCCAATTCATCAGGCTGACTTTCCAGATTTTCTTGAACACTTTCTTCTTCATTTTCTTGAGGAACAGAAGCTGTTCCAGTTTCTTCCTCCACCTGTTCATCACCAACAGGTTCAGTAGGTGAGCCAAGCTCCACCTGCAGCTTGGTATTATCACCCTTTTCATCACCAGATAGCCCCTTTGGCTCCTTATTTTCCAAACAGGGCATTTTTGACTCATCAAAGGTCACATCTCTGCTGGTGATGATTTTAAAACCTTTTACCTCTTTACTCCAAAGCCTATAGCCTTTAATCCCATCAGGATATCATAAGAAAACACATTTCTGAGCTCTAAGTTCAAGTTTCCCTATACTCTGATGGGAGTAGGCAGCACAGCCAAAAATTCTTAAATGAGAATAATCAGGAACATGTCTTGTCCATAGCTCTTGAGGTGTTTTATCACCTAGAGCACTTGAGAGGGTTCTATTAACAATGTATGAAGCTGTAACTACAGCTTCACCCCATAAGACCTTAGGAACTCCTGAGCCTATCAACATGCACCTAACCTTATCTAACAAGGTTCTATTCATTCTCTCAGCCACTCCATTCTGCTGAGGTGTATAAGGTACTGTTTTATGCCTTTTAATCCCAGCACTTTTGCACAATTGATCAAATTCAGAATTGTAAAACTCAAGACCATTGTCTGTCCTAAGGACCTTAATTTTCTTCCCAGTTTCATTTTCTACCAGAATTTTCCAAGTTCTAAATTTTTCAAAGGTTTCAGATTTATGTTTTAACAAATAAACCCAAACCTTCTTAGAATAGTCATCAATCAAGGACAAGAAATATCTATTTCCTCCTTGAGTGATGGTAGATGAAGGTCCCCACAAATCAACGTGTATATACTCAAGGGTAGAGGTGGTTCTATGTTTTTCTGTGTTAAAATGCAACCTATACTGCTTACCTAAGGTGCAGTTTTCACAAAAGGACACCTTAGATATAGAGTCTTTTCCAAACACACCTTTCTTATAAAGGATGTGTAGGCCCTATTCACCTACATGGGCCAATCTCTTGTGCCATTTTAAAGTGGCATCAACTTCAACACTTGAAGACTCACCTATGTGATCATACACTGTACTAGCTTTGATCACATAAATCCCATTTCTTTTAACACTTTTAAAAATAACAAGTGATCCTTTTATCACCTTCAAAAAATCATCTCTTATTTTTCCTTGCAGCCCCATATCATCCAGATTTCCCATGGAAATCAGATTCCTATTTAATTCAGGTACATATCTCACCCTTTCAAGGGTGTAAATGTATCCATTATCAAATTTTAAAGTGACATTCCTAACTCCCTCAACTCTGCAGGCTATGTTATTGCTCATAACTACTTCTCCTCCATCAATTTTCTTAAAATTTTCTAAATATGCCTTTTTGGAGGTCATATGGAAGGTACAACCAGAATCCAAGATCCATTCTTGGTTGTGGTTCTCATCAACCATATTTACAGAGTTAGGTAGATTTTCAGTCACAGCATATACATCAACTATGGTAGAACCATCAGATTCTACCACATTACCCTCATCAACACCCTTGCCTTTTTGTTCATTTTTCTTCTTATAACAGTGTTTGATAAAATGACCAAATTTCCCACACCCATAACATTTTTTAGTCCTAGTCTTTGACTTAGACCTGCCTCTACTTTTAAACTTTCTCCTATTATTGTTTCCTTGATTATTATAGCTTTCTTGAGTACCACTAGACCTACTTAAAGTCCTCCCTCTAGCAAATAAGTTTTCATGGGCACTATTACCTCTCTCAGACTTAAGTTCAAGTTTCTTACTTCTTAATGAATCTATAACAATGTCAGGTGTTAGAGTATCTCTACCATACTTAATGGCAGCTTTCACCTCTTTGTAAGCTTCAGGTATAGCATTAAGTAGTACTACAGCTTTATACTCATCAGAAACTTCTCACCAGTATTGATAATGTCTTGAACTAACTTATTAAAAATGTCTAAGCTATTTTCTAAGTCTCTAGTTGGATCTATCCTAAAGCTGAAAAATTTCTCTAATAGAAACAACTTATTAGGCAAAGACTTAGGTAGGTAAAGTTTCTCTAATTCATCCCATAGGTCCTTAGCAGTATCATGTTTGCCTACTTTTCTTAAAACTTGATCAGACAAATGCAAAATAATGGAGGTATAAGCAAGTTCATCAAATTCTTCCTTTTGATCATCTGTCATAGTATCAGGAAATTCATCTTTATTGCTTTAGAAACTTTTTGCTGAGCTAAAACACCTCGCATTTTTTGTTGCCAAATGGAAAAATCCCCTTTTCCATCAAAGACACCAAGTTCAAAAGATTTTGTCATGTTTTATTATTTTGAAAAAAAAAACTAAAACACAGTGTTTCCCCAAAAAGTTAAAACAAGACAGATAATTAACTTTTGAAAAGATCTGTTGAATTTGACCTTCGCAAAAAAATGATGTTTTAGATCACAAGAAAAAATAAAATGTAATCAGATTACTGAGTCACAATTATTCCTTATTACAAAAAATTTCAGCAATCTCAAGATCAATAATCACATCAATATGAAACACTACAAGAACCAAGGAAATACAACAATATAGGCAGAAACAACATCTCAGTATTAATAAACAATGTCTGCAGAACCTAGGGTTGATCAAATTCACCAGGATTCCGTGAGAATCAAGTTCTCAGGTCAAGGCTCAATTTGGATCACCCAAAACTTAAATAATCACAGACAGAGATCACAGACAACAATAACGAGATATCATCAATTAATGTAACAAATTACAGTAGACAACAATTAATCATATCAAGATAGAGGCATAATAAAAAATATACACAGTGTTACGTGTGTCTGTGATCAAGTAGGGATCAGGAAGTGCAAACCGAAGGGTGATTAAACGATTAACCACCAGCACTAATCAGGAATTAGTTATCACAGCAAGGGGTGAGTGTTCTCCAGATCACCAAAACACGAACTGAGCTTTTACAGCTTCGAAATTAGGGTTCCAGTTCAAAAAATGAAACCACAGGACCTCTTATTTTAGGGTCCTTCTATGGGTCGAGGTGAGAAGTCACAAGACTTTCTCATTTTTCCACAGTCCATCTTCGAATCAGCTCAACAAACCACCAGATCGACACAAATCTAGACCTAGGGTTTCGCGATCTGAAGTCGAACGCCTGAAAATTAATTTTCCAGTATTCGAGCTTCGACCGTAGACTCAAGAACGAATTACTAAGGGCCTGTTCTCTTTACTGTTTTCGGGTCGTTTTCTGTTTTCGATTTTTCAAAACGGTGAAAACGTGTTCTCTTTCCCGTTTTCGAAAACGAATTTTTGAAAACGAAAAAAAATTTTGTGAAGAAAACACAAAACGACTTTTTTGTCGTTTTGGGTGTTTTCAGTGTAAAACTTGAAAAAACTGAAAACGCGGGAAACACCTTTTTTTTTTCGGACGTGGTGTGGTGATTCTCAAAATTTCAAAAAAAAAAATAAAAATTATTATATATATTTTTTTTTTTTTTTTTTAGAGGTGATCTTGTGGTAATTTTCAAAATTTCAAAAAAAAAAAATTTCATTTTTTTTGTTTTGAGAAACTAACAAAAAGAACGCATTTTCAACAATTTCAAAACAAACACTCAAAACACAAAACTCAAAATGAATTCAAAACTCAAAACACAAAACTGAAACACAAAGAGAACACCCCCTAAAGCTTTGATACCACTATTATACACAGATCTGAAAATAGTACATCAAGAATATATTATTTACATGAATCTCCTAAGACCACAGCATCAAGTGAAAATCCTTTAAGGCTCAGACCAAAGACCCCATATCTAACATCACAGAGACACCAAATCTTAACCGCGAGCCCTCACAGTCCCAAATCTACAAAGTTACTTCAATAGGACATAGAATGAACAAAACCCCTTCGATACAAAGATTTCACACAGAGAAAAATCACCCAAGGAATGAAGATCATAGGGATGATTCTTCAAAATCTCACACAGAGAGATCGAAGAAGAACAAAACTGAAAAACCCTAGTGAAGGTTCCAGAACACGGCTCACAGAAGAGAGAAAAATGAAAAGACGACTGCCAACTCTAAAAAATGAGAAAGGGATATATTTATAGTAGAAATCATCAGCCATCAGATTAATGGGTTGATCTAACGGTCCCAGAGCAACTACGAGAATGGGCCGGGTATTGGGCTCGGTTAAGCGGGTCGTCTAAGTATAAAAGGGTGGATCAATCTGCTCTTTATCTATTGGGCCTGGAATTTATCATCATTGCCTATAATTGGACTGATCATGTTAGCATCACAGCCCAACACTTTAGCTCTCATTTGAACACGATCCAAAACAAGAGGCTCAAAAATGCACTCTGCCTGAAGATGGTTAAAATTTCCAACTGCACGTGCATTCATATTCCCTCAACTTTGTAAACAAAAGATTAAATCCATACAACATACACCATATAAATTCTCTACAATTTTTCTCAATAATGTATTGACTACCATATTTTAGCATACATGTTTGACAAAATCATATCAAAATTCTGACTGATTACATAAATCGACGACATACCTCATTGAAAGCGAGCATCTGATCGTTACTCTTCTTAACCTTCTTAAGCTTCCTCAGAAAATACCTTCATAAGCATTAGCAGATCTCAATCCCTATACTTCAATATATTATATAACTACACACAAACACAATTAGGATCTTACCAGAACTTAGATTTAGCACGGACTTCATTAGTGGCCCAGAGTTTCATTCGGCAGATCTTCGGATGCTCCTCCGCCTCCGTCAGGAGAGCTCTCCCCACCACCTTTCACTGATGAATTTGCATTTAAAAAGCCTATTAATCCACATTTGAAAACCACAATTCATCATTAAAACAACAAAACTCATACATATAATAAACTTTAAATATTAAGAAGGGGGATTTGGCCATCTCCAACCCTACACCAAATTTTGCACTATTTTACACCAAATTTTGCACCAAATCTTCCACCAAATTAAAATTTATCTTCAACCATTAGACCAAAAATTACACCAAATGAACAGTATTTAACCATTTTCTTCCCCTTTTTTATTCTTTATAATCTACTTATTTGAAATATTATTTATTTAATTATTTCATAAATACATAGATTACTAAATAGATAATTATGCTAAATTGCGGAAAAGATTAAATTCATTAATAAATATAAAAAATATAGAACAATTAATAAAAATACAATTAATAAACATAGAACATAAATTGCTATTTAATATATTTCGTGTTAACTTTAATAAATAATCGTGTTTGATTTATTTTAAATTGTTTTCGTTTTTTAATTAATTATTATGTCTTACATTTAAATTTTATTTTAAACACAAATAATATTAGTATTAATAAAAAATAATAATAATTTATTGTATTAAAAAATATATAGCACAAATTACATAAATACACTCAACAAATTTATTTGAGAAATGTTAAATAAGGGCAAAATGAATATTTTACACTTTGCACCATTTTGCACCAAAATGGAGCAAAGTTTGGTGTTGGGTTGGAGCAATTTTGCACCAAAAAATGGTGCAAAATGACGCAATGGTATTGTGGTTGGAGATGCCCTTAGTGGGGAAATTACCCTGTATGTCACCATATATATATATATATATATATCTCGCGCGTGCGCGATGTGGGAGGGTTAGGGTTTTGTAATTGACAATTAAAATAAAGGTTGAACCCCAAGAGGGTCATCGTCCCACCCCTCAAGTTTTGTGAGACAGGTAAATCGCAGAATGTACTATAACAGGTCAGGGAACAAGAGCTGCACGTACACTGCGCCTACAAGGAGTCCAATTTCATGTCTCATAAATCGAACCCCCACATTACGACTGTCAGCAAGGCGTGAGATAACCTCACTCCTATCTTTTGCACCACTAGACTATGCCTCGAGGAGTGGTTTTGTTATTTACATACATAGAGGCAGGATTGGGAATCCTTATTGGCTTTTGAGGGCTGTTTGGTTATTCTGGATAGGGAAAAATTCATAATTCAGATATATTGTTTACATCATTTTAAAAATCAGGTAAATAGTTTGAAATTTCAAAATTCAGGATTATATTTAATTAATTAAAAATATTTATTAAATAAAGATAATAAAATCACAGTTACATAATTAATAGTCATAGATTTATAATTATAAATCACAAATTTATTTATTGGTCACATATCATCAAATCAGTTGGTCACAGATTTTTTTGAGGCCACAAATCAAAATTTTTGTAGGTCGCATATTATTTTATTGGTCACAGGTGAAAAAATTACAAGTCACAGTTTATATATCGATCACATATTTTTAAATTTGTTGGTCACAGGTGATCGAATTTTAAGGTCACACTTAAATAATTGGTCATGGATAACCACACAGTTGGCCACACATCAAATTGTCGGGCACCACCAATTCCAACACCACCCGCCACTTGCAACCACTCTCATCCCGTTGCCACCGTCGCCAACACCACCACGACAGCATCACTAACAAAAATCGCCGCCACCAGATCCACCTCCACCACCACGACCTCTACCACCAAACACACCAAAAAAAACCAACAACCACACCATCGCCGCCTGAACCAAACTATCACCGTGTCAAACACCACAAACGCCATCACATCATCGTCGAGCACAGAGAAACCACCACATCACCGTGTCAAAACACCACAAGCGCCACCACATCACCATCGTCGACCGCCACTGTTACCATAAACACCTCACCAGTCACCAGCACCTCCAACCAAAAAACAGAAAACTGCAGATTGAACGGAGAGAGATAAATGCAGATCAAATGCTGCCCCTACGCTGGAAAGAGGAAAGAATCATTCAGAAAGAGAAAAGAACAGTTCGGAAACCATTGACTTTAGATCGAAAAGAGAAGAACAATTTCATGTCGCAACGCTGCGTTCCCAGCAGCGTCGCCTCCTATGCCGGTGTCGGCACCACCCCATGCCATCGCCCTACTTTCATCACTGGTTGAAGTGTTTAATCTTCATGCCGGCGTCGAGCACAAAGAGAGAGGGGATGGGAAAGTGTCTTGTAATGGGAGGAGTGAAATTTCAATTAGGTTTTGAAATGTGAATTGGGGGATTTAATCTAATAATTCCTGATTTGTGAACAATCAAACATTGTGCCTGAATTTTGAACTGTGATCTTTAAAGATTTGGATTTCTGTAATTTTCACTTTTGGATATTGGATTCCAGAGTGGGGTGGGTTTAACCGGCTTGGTCCACTGTCTTTCACAGTTTTACTCTTTTAATATAAGTGTTTCATTTTTTAATTAGTCACATGCAAAAGAATTCAACTATAAATTACTTTTGTTGAATATATCTTTACTCTATTTTTTTTATCATAAAATTGCAGTTTATACTATTGTCAAATTCACGTGACACATTCTAACAAACTTATCATTGGCCCTTATTTATTATTATTTTTTTTAGCGCAAACAAACTTTTTCGTAGCCTCTTGTATATTTAAATTTTGTAGATGTTACAAAAAAATGTTTCAGTTTTCAGGCTAGAAAAGGCAAGGCTTTGTGATTTTGTGATATTGATTTGATCTGGTTGGACATATATGTGATTTCAACGATGTATTGAAGTTACACTAAGTACTCCTATTTATTGCAACCAATTCAAGAAAATTTAAGCGTTCAGGTAAAATATTATTAACTTTCTAGGATGAATTTTTAATCCCACAAAATATATAGTTAATATATAGGTAACTCCATATATATGATTAAAAAATTAATGTTTACCTTTGACGTATAGAAAGAATAAATTTTTAATAACTTCTAATTTTACACAAACAAGGACTAAGTGCATTTTACAACCAGGAGGCACCTGTTTGTCTAGGGCCCCTTGGACGAATAGGAAAACTTGTTCATTAATGTTAGTTGTATCTTTCTCAATAAAATAACTAAGCAATACAATCAACGATATCTAACCAGGCCAGCATGGCTTGAGGCGAGGACCGACCCAGGTCTCTAAGGTGAAGCCCTAATTTAAAGGGCTGACAACCTCGGCTGAGGAAGGGCTGATCCAATTTGACACTCCTATTTCCATCCTACAAAAAAGGGTAGAAAATCTTGCCAAAGGAGTCATTGTTGGAAGTTTACTGCATACGCATATACGACGGCTCAAGCAAATCTTATCCCACTAAAGCAAGTGTAACCAAACAGGCTAGGAAGAGTGAATCGTTTGTGAAATTTCAGAAGATAAAATTGTGAAGAAAATCACTTTGATCCTACATCAATATAATTGATGGACGAGATTGTTTGGAAATACCCTTAAAAACTATAGCACAATTTTGAGCTCATAAAGTTGTGCACAATTGTAATATTATATGTATGGTCCAGTGGGAGATTGTTGGAAAAAATTCCAACCTTTTGGGCCACACATGTACATATGTTAAAATGTGTGGTGCTATTTTTGAAGTTTATTCGATAAAGTGATCCATTGAGTTTATTTTTGAACTAATGGGTATTAAATGTTATGGGAATAAAGTGTAGAGACCGGATAATGTTATTTTAAATTGATGATGACCCAACTTGAAATAATACAAAATTAATAACTGCCAATTGCAGTTAATTAATATGAGGTCATTGTCCCCAATTGTACACGAGTTTTTTACAGTTCTCTGCATCCCCATTAATAGAGAAGAAAACTCAAGATCACGTAACAGTTAAAAGATCAAAGCCCAATCAAAACACTGAAGTTCATGGACCAAGGTGCGCTTCCGCTTTAATCTTCTCTTTGATTTCAGCATGGAGCATTTATGAAAATTTTGTGAAAGGATTTATAAAACTTTGGTTCCTTTCAATTTCTTACGAGTGGTATCAGAGCACTCCATTGTTGAATCCTTGAGAATTTACAAGAATTAGTGTGGTTACAGTTTTGTAATTTGGGTTATTTTTGATCTCCCATCACATAGTTATATGGAATTTAGTTGCTGCAATATTTTAAGAATTTTTCCGATTTGACAACTTTGAATTTTATTTTGTTGCATTTGAAAATTGTTTGGTATGTTGTTCATAGTTATTTTTCAAGATTTGGGTTAAGAACTTATGGAAATTAAGTTATATATTGGATCTGGCACCGACGTTGCAGCGAACTGTTGCTGCAAAATGCAGCAGCCTGTTTAGGGGCAGCAGTGTGGAGCTGCTACAATTGACACCGCTCTCTAGGGGGCACCGGCCACCGACGCCATTTGCAAGAGAGAAAGAGATTCAAGGATGGATCATTTTGGGCTGGGGCCTGAGATGTAATTTCTATTATTTCGGGCCCTTGTTTGCAATTTAAAATTAGAATTAGTTATTTTTCAAAATAAAAATTTATATTTCAGTCCCTAAAGTTTGGAATCCATCCAAGTTGGACCTTTAAAGTTATGGGTTTAATAATTTAGCCCTATAGTTTGAAAATTATTTAATTTAGGCCATTATAGTTTTGTATTTTACAATTAAAGCCCTCAAAGTTTATAATTAATTAAAATTGGCCTCCAAAGTTTTAAAAATTTTCAAATTTTGATCCTAAAGTTTTTAGTAATTAACCATTAGGTCCCTAAAGTTTCTAAATGCATCTAATGATGCAAAATTAATGATCTCTTTCTCAAATTTTGACACTAAGGACTCTTTTAAGAGCTGTAATTGAGATTTATGCGAGACAATCAAATTCAGATAATTTGGTAATTCATTCATATTAAATTAAGGCTATCTAGCATTTGAATAAACTTACCGAAAAAAATGTCACAAAAGCGATCTCTCTTGTGTAGATTGATTTGTTTGGGATGTTTAGATATTGTGTGT